TAATTGTTTGTTTTGTAAGTACAATCGAGGAGGATTGTGGTCGGGAAGCGTTTGGCCAATTCGAGTGAACCGGGGTGAGCAAAATAGAACGAGGTCATGTGACCTTCAACACTGTCCATCATGAAGTAGAAATGGTGTTGGCGGATTTGATGCACAAGGGGCTCAAATGGTGTTCGTCCATCAAGCTGTTCCAGGCGCATCTTCCCTCGGTGATTGTAAATGGTGTTGAGCGTGGCGTGTGAGGGGGCCTGTGTGTTTTGAACTAAAGCTGACTTGATCTTCAGGGGTGCAAAACCAGCGTTGGTTAGTTCGGTGACCCTTTCTCTTTGTGATTTGGTCAAACATCAATGGATTGGATGAACGTATGGATCCTCCAAGGCTGGGTGGTTGTGATTTGGGTTCTTGATCTTGATCCTGTAGTGTCCGTCCCTCTTGTAGAATTTGCCCAACATTTCAAAGGGACATCCGATCTTCTTTGATTTGCCCAACTTGTCAGGGTTCGGTGCCACTGGTTTGCCAGATAGGTTGCATCTATAAGTAACTCGGTCCTCCCCATTGGACTGTGTAGTGTTTCTCTTGACAATTGCATACCCATGCTCCAAGGCCCACCGTTGCCCAGCTTCATGTAGTTGGGTCCTTGTTGCATAAGATAACTCGGGAGGGGGCGCAAGGGAATGAAGAGCGGCAGACGGAGCGGTCGACGGAGCAGCGGGAGACGCGATTTCCACAGGTGAGGTGACGTTTTCTTGAGATTTACTGAGGGTTGTGTTCATTTGAGCTTCAGATCTCTCCTCAGATGTTGCTGCAGAAAGAAGGAGGGGGTTGATGTGGCTTTGACTTTCAGACATGTTATTGAGGTGTTTGTTGAAGTTGAGTGATGATTTAAAAAAGACAAAGGGTTCAACAAGGAAAATGGAGAATGCAGCCTTCAAAAGATTCAAGAAATAATTTTTTTGATGGTTTTCAAGAAGAAATTGGTTGAGAACCGGCTGAGTTAATCAGATAGGTAGTTTGAGTCCTACTAGCAATCGAGCAATGAATAACCAAGGACGGGAGGTCGGTCCGCAAAAAAAGAGACAGTGGCGGTCAAGAGGATCAAGAAATAAGATGATTGATGGTTTTCTTGAAGAAATTGGTCAAGAAACGGCTGAGTTATTCTGAGTTGGGGTTTGAGTCCTACTGGCGTTCCAGCGATGAATTAAAAAAAAGAGAGGTCCAGCGGCAAAAAAGGAGACGTTGGCGGTGAAGAGAATCAAGAAAGAAGATTATTAGTGTTTTGAATGAATAAAATGGTTGAGAAATGGCTGAGGTATTTAGAGTTGAAGTTTAAAACCTACTAGAGTTCCAGCAATGATTAAAAAAAACGAGAGGTCCGGCGGCAAAAACGGAGATGGTGGGGTTCAAGAGGATCAAGAAAGAAGATGATTGATGTTTTTCTTGAAGAAATTGGTGGAGAGTTGACTGAGTTATTCTGAGTTGAAGTTTGAGTCCTACTAGTGTTCCAGCAATGATTAAAAAAAACGAGAGGTTCAGCGGCAAAAACGGAGATTGTGGCGGTGAAGTGGGTCAAGTAAGAGGAGGATTGATGTTTTTCTTGAAGAATTTGGTTGAGGGATGGCTGAGTTATTCAAAGTTGAAGTTTGAGTCCTACTAGTGTTCCAGCAATGATTAAAAAAAACGAGAGGTCCAGCGGCAAAAACGGAGACAGTTGCGGTCAAGAGGATCAAGAAAGAAGATGATTGATGGTTTTCTTGAAGAAATTGGTTGAGAATTGAAAGAGTTATTCAGGGTTGAAGTTTGAGGCCTAACAATGACTTAAAAAAACAAGAGATGGATCAGCAATATTGAAGAGTGTGACAGTGAAGAGCATAAAAATTGGGTGCTTTTGGTATTTCTTTTGTGAATTTTGGTTGAGGAATGGCCAAGTTATGATTTTTTGAAGTTTAGAGTGTACCTGCAAGTTGGGAGTGAACCGGTGGTGAATTGAAAAAATCCGAGTCCGTGGCGTCGAAGAGGAAAAAAAAAGAATGATTTCAGTATTTTTTTTGTCGATTTTGGTTGAGTTTTGACTGAGTTGTGGTGTGTTGAAGGTTTAGAGGGGGGGTGAAGTCTATTTTTGATTGTGGTGAGTGGTTTTCTTGTTTGGTGCCTGCAGGAAAATTTTCAAACTTCATGCAGGCACTTGTGGTACGCGCACGCGCCCCCTGGAGGCAAAATTATGCATAATTAATAAAACCGCGCGTAAACGCGGAATCCGCGTGCGCTGCGCCACAGCAAAACCCCGTGTAAACGCGGAAAAACCGTGTTTTTTTATTAATGCCCTTATTAATTATTAGTCCGAAACGGTTTTAAATATGAAGAAGGGTAATGGTTGGAAGTTTGGTTAGGTTGATCTGAAAGTAATAAGAATAAAGCACGAATCAATCAAAATCTCTCAATTTGAACTAACTATGCGGACACTTAGATAGGAAAAGGTTTAGATAAAATAAGACTACTAGAAAGTGTTATTTTTCAGGAGAGTTATTCTAAGTAATTACCTTTTTTTATTGTTGATGTCTCAAGAGTTAATTCAGAGAAGTAAGAAATATTTTTTTGATGAGGAGGGAGGAAGGACTGTTCCAGTCTCAGGGGTTGAATACTTTGTACCAGTCCTTCTTCTAAAGCTTGGTATTGTTTGTATTGCCTTGATTTGATCATCTTGCAAGGCTGAAGTCATTTTTGAAGATTGCTTTCAATATTCAAAGAATTTGGTTTTCTTTGATTAATCTTAATTTCAAGAGATCACATATCTGTGAAACCTCTAACATGTAAGTGAAATCTACATTAATTTCAATAATTTTTATTTTTTATTTATTTTAATTGTTTTGTGAAACCTTTAGGACATGTCAACATGTCTCTAAGGTTGACACCCAGAGGCTGACATCTGCAGCCAGGAGGGTAACTTCTTTGGCCACTGAGTACACTCTCAAAGGCCAACAGGTACACTCCCAGCCATAGTGAGTGTAATCTAAGTGGCCAGGAGGAATCCTCATGGCCACAGGGGGTCATTTTAGCTCATCAACCCCCAAAAATCCTGTTTGTTTTTTAGCATCAACTACACACCCCTCGGGGGTTTCTTTTCTTTTGCATTAAAACAATTTGGGGGTCTGACTCCCAAGCCTGCTGATGGGTTTGGAGGATTGACTCCCAAAAGTTGGGGGAGGCCTTCCTGAGAAAGTCCTCAGGACATCCCTGGGGTTTGGGAGTCAAGTTTCAACTCTCCAATATTTGGGAGTCTATTAATTAAGCCCCTATAACACGAGGCCCACAAACAACACTGGAAAGATGCATACATTACAATACCCAGAGGTATTTTTGTAACATAACTTCCCAGCTGTCTAGACAATGCTGTTATCATTATCCAGACAAACTGGGTTGTTATGTCATGAGTAACATAACAAAGGGGATTTCCCCCGTTTTTACCTAGAAAAATAATGCAAACAAAATGTTATCTGCATTATTTACCTAGTTGTTCTTTTGTTATCTACCTCTAGTTGTGGTGGATAATGTAATGAAAAAAATGAAGAAAAAAGAAAACATAACGGAAAAGCTGTTACAATTATTGTCACCCTAATGCCCATGATTAGGTTGCACTTTCATCAACCTACCATTACGGGTAGCATAACCTCCCAGTTGTGGTTCAAAGGTGGTATTTGTGTGAAAATTACAAACCTGCAGAATAATTAAGAAAGATTGTGTATGATGATCATTGGTGATAAGTTTGAACTTTGAAAACAAATAAGAAGAAGAAGAAACCTCCATCCAAGCAAGCAACAATAAATGTATGTGTGTGATTTGATTATGCGTGGGGGTGACGGTAGATATATGGAAAGTGAGGTTTGTGAAGAGAAGCTACTGTGGGGGTGATTTAAGGAGGTGCTTGAGCTATGTACTCTGCAGCAGCCTTCAGATCAGCCAGAGTAGTACTAGGTGACTCAATTGGTGAGAGCCCCTAGTCCTGAACACGAACCCAGTCCACAAGCTTTTGGAGGATGTCGAGTTGTGGGGGAGTGAGGGAGAAGTTGTTCTGAGCAAGGTTGACCAGACTGGTTGACAGGACAAGCTGTTCATCAGAGGTGTTACTGGCGTGTGCGCATTTGGCCAGTGTCTCCTCCTTGATCCCGTTGATTGTTGCAAGAAGCCATTCTTCATCTTCTTTCTCATCGAGGTTCAGGATGGTCTTCAGCTCGGCCCAGGTGGTTGGTCCTGATTTGAGGGCTTTGGTGAGAGTATCTATGCAAGAGTCTTCTTCAATCCCAAGTCGACGGCAGAGAGTCGATTCGATCGATCTGAAAAAGTCGTGGATGGCATCCATCTGAGCCTGTTTACGTAGTAGATTCACCTGTTCCATCTGGGCTTCAACCTGTTCCATCAGGGCTTCAACCCTCATCCGTTCCTTGTGGTCTTTTTGCTGCATGGACTTGATCTCTTCAGCTACGGAGTCGATCCTTTTGTTTTGCTCTGCTACAATTGCTTGTAGTTCGGCGAAACTTAAGAATCGCGGGTTGGTGCGTTCAGGCACGTTGTCCAGAGGGAGTCGGATGTCCTTTGCCAGCATGGTGGGGGGTTGGATTGGATTGGATTCTTGCATATTAATTTCTCTTGAGGGCCCAGTGGTCTTGTTGTGGTTGTAGTTGATGATAGTTTTTTATGCACAAGTTCCAAGGACCATCGGCCCAATCGAGATTCTGATTCACCGCCCCTCATCTCAAACCAGCCCAATCCGGACAACTGGGCACCCTTCAACCTCTGTATCATCACCGGCCCAGTGTAAACGGCACGGCTCAAGCGAGCTGGAAGGTAGCCGGCCGGCACAGATAGACTTCAAGCGCACAAGCCAGTTTTTCAAGACGGGTTGGACGAAGCGGAGCTGCCCTAGTTCAACACCAACGACAGAACTTTTTTTCTGCAACCCGGCCAAGAGCACTTAATGATTCGATTGAAACAAAAAAAGATCATATTACGGGGATTCTTGTCGGGCCTGTCAATACTACGTGGACCCAGGTACATATTTATATTCGCAGGAGAAAAAAAAAGGCGAGTTTCCCAGTGGGGACACCGGTCTACGGCCTTGTCGATCTTCTCCTCGTGTAAATGGTCTCTGTCGAGTCCCGACATCCCCGCGATTGGATGAGTCCTATAGTCATCTATGTGTGCACCGGATCCAAACAGTCTACCTTCTGCATCCGGAGGCCATCATCCATCCAGTCTTACCAGGTCCAATAATCGGTCGGATCGGCAGGTCACATTCGCTCATCATGAGGAGGTATGCTTGGCGACGGCGGACAAAGTGGTAGGCAGCTACGACGATCGGGATTCGGGAGCCTCGAAAGTCGAGGTCTAGAGACTAGGACCATTGCATCTCTGTCGTCATATCGGCCATCTCATATTAAGCCCGCTATGCCCCGTTGGTCCGCAAGCACGTCATCCAGAGCCTCGACATTCTCCTCACCGGCGCTGCCGTTGCCATCCGCAAACGCATTCTCAATCCAGCTCCTCGCGCGGTCTTTCATCGAGCAACGTAGATCAGTGTGACCGTTCATATGGCTCTGTCATCGACAAGGTCGCCGAAGTGTGCAAGGCTTGAAGGCTCTCATCTTGCGCTCACCAGGCCTAGTGTCTTCGGCACTGGAAAACTACATACACTCTCCGTGGCCATGGATTCAAGCCATCCCTCATCCTACTGTCTCTCTAACCCCCGCTTCGCCGAGCCCAAAGATTTCATAGAACTAATGTAGGGTGGACTGCTTGATCCAGGAAGACCATCTATGTATTGCTGGACAGAAGCTGACGGCTGCCTTCCGAAAACGCTCCAATCAGGCCATGATCAACTGCAGGAAGCTTGCTCGGAGACAACCTCTGCTTCTAGTCACGTTGGCGATCTTCCCCCGCTCCCCACTCGTTTGAAATTGTTGAATTTGAGTGGCTCATTAAGCAGTGTCTTGTTGATGATCATCTCCTCAAACCATAGTTATACAGTTTGTCTTCTTCTTGGACTTATGTCTCATATTATCCATAGGTACATAGACTCCTCTTGAAGTTCATCATCAACTTCCTCTTGAAAATAACTGTTGATCTTCAATTCCATCTTCTTATTCTATTCAGATCATTTCTTAACTTGGTTCTGTTCTATGATTAGCTGCCCAACATCTCTATATACAAAAATGTCATCTAGGCAAAAAAAAGATTCATTAGTCAGTCTGTTCAATCTTCTTAATCTTGGATCACCAGTTGCATCGTTGATTCTAGATGTCATCATTCCATGTATTTATCTTATTTTCTTCTCCTTATCTTCCTCGTTTTCTATGTGTATCTCACTGTTGGTATCCAATATAGTTTTACAAGAACCCTTCAATCAAAATCATTTTAGCTTTCAAAAAACAATAACCAAGAAGTTAATCACTTGAACAACCCCAGTTCACATCACCTCTAGATTCTTGACTACCCTGGCCCTTCAAAAAAGGAAAAGCTCTGAGGTGTATGTTGAGATGTCATTTTCACACTACAAGTATGTAATAGGGCTCAAAGGATGCTGCATCAAACACAGAACAAGAAAAATAAGTAGTACATGGCAAAGAATGGCCTCTAACAGGTCAAAATATTTTGGGGGGCTTACATATTTTCTTGTTCTGTGTTTGATGTATATTAAATACTTTTAGTGTAAGGATTACATCTAAATATCAAGCCCAAAGTTCCTCCTGTTTTTCAGGGCTTGCTTATCCCAGAAGAGGGGATACAAACTATATGTATCAATTGACTGGTGTATCAAAACTACGCAGAAAAAAAAAGTTTTATGCACCGGGTATGATTTATGAATGGTTGCAAGTTTCTTGATGAACAATCTGTGAAATGTTAAAATTTCTTCATGGATGTAAATCACATAACACATTGATGTGGTCTTCATATTGACAGTCTGAAAGGTATTGGCGGTCAGCTACATGTCCACAATCCATACAGACTTGGCCCCGGCCAAGATGTTCAAAGAGGCACACATGTTGAACACCACCACTACAGTTGTAAACAGTCAAACATGGCATATTCCCCTGGACTGGTTGTCTGTCTGGGTGTTCACAATGGATGGGCTGTTGACCTGGCTGGATTTGCAATGCCTGACCCCAAATCAAGGTTGGGGCAGCCAGGATACACATCCCCTTTTTGAAGAGCATTTATGCAGGCAGATGTGTAATGTGAAGCTGTCTTGAGTGAGAATTGAACACAGGAGGTCTTTGATTCAGGTATTCAGGTGAAGCACAGATCAATCCAACTGAACCAGGGTGCCATTATCTGCATCATAGGAATAAGGGTATACATACTATTACTTGAAAAAAGGGAGCCAAATGAGAGGACCCTGGAAACCACTGTTGATGTCTAAGCCCCACATCTGAACTCATCTTTCCCTTAGCCTTTCTTTTTCCCCCAATATCAAAATAATCTTGCTCAAGTACTTGTGTTGTGATGACATCACTCCACACAAACCTTCTCAAATCTTCATAGGGTACTGATGACATCACCGTGCTCAAACCCTCTCAATCTTTTTGCCTGGTTATCATCTATGAGCCTGAGCCTCTTATGTGGCGACAGGACACAAGAGAGTAAGGGGAACTACTAGATGGATTTCTAAGGAGAAGAGAAATACAACTAGAAGAGAGAGAAATAAAGGGAAAGATAGAGAAAAGGAAAAGGAAATAGATAAAGAAAAAGAGTTTTTTTTTTATTTGGTTGAATTCACAGTCTTACTTTCCTCTTGTGGGATGGCTGATAAGCTGTCTAAGACTAGCCTCTTCTACAAAGGAAACTATAGAAGGTTTTAGTTTGAATATACTCAGAACTAGCCACAATTTTTTAGATCAATGATCAAGGCTCTTTAAAGGGAAACCTATGTGGTTTTCAGGTTTACCACCAAACAATGAGATGAATAATAAAATTTGTTTGAGTTTAGGAGAAAGTGAGTTAGAGAGAAAGATATGGTTGAAGAACCATATGTGAGACTGAGATAGCAGAGCAACAGAGAAATCAAGCAACAAAAAAAATACTAACTGTCAGAGTCCTAGCACGACCACGTGGAGGTAAAACTGGGAGTTGGTATCCTTTTGACAAGTTAAGCGCCAAGCGGTAAAGGGGTTGGTTGGTTTGTTGGTGGTTCTGGTTCAAAGTGAGTCTGAAAACCTTGAAGATCCTGAAAATGCAAACTTAGGATCCTCTGACCGGATTTTCAGAGTTGGATTACGTAATGATAACATTTACTTGTGGTAGAGGGGAACATTAATTCTTGAGTATCACAATTTAGACAAGTACGGTGAAGTAAGGCAAAGTATGTGAAGGAGTAGAGTGAGAGAATAGTGGTCAGTGGTGACTAGGGGTTAATTTAGCTGAGAAATCCATATCTGAATTCAGATGTAGGAAATATCTTCTGAGTAAAAAGTTATGATAATATTATAGTGGGAAAGGATGGTAAAAGCAGTCTTTTGGCCAGCTGTGCTGGCTCTAAGGCTGACATCATCTTGCATGATCCCTTTCCTTTCTTCCTTATCATTGTGCATTCTTCCTTTGGTCACTCATCCCAAGGATCTTCTTTCTTCAATCATCGCTAAGCTCCCCTCTTCACATCACTAAGCTCCTCGCCTCACATTGCTAAGCTCCCCACTTCACTACATTGTATTCATCTTGATCTATTCACTCATCCCTGAACTACATCATTGTTTATCTTATCCCATTAAACAATTGATCTCACAGTCCTTTCAATTTTTATATCAACAAATCCCTTTCATTCAACAACTCGTGACCCCTTCTATTTGGCAACTCACCAATCACTTCTTCTTAGGAACATCTCCTTGTTCATTGTGGGTTCTTTTTGATCCCTTCTCATCAATGTTCTCATGTTAAACTATCTTCTTTTGTCTCTATTCATTTATTGTTATAGCACCATAACATATTTTTGTTCTCCTCATTGGTCATCTACTGCTTTTAGGTGATTGTTATTTCTCATTTCTTTCCTTTTTTATATTGTGTATTTCACTAGCAGTTACTTATGAAATACTATCTTTTAGTCTGTTCATTCACCGCCACCAGACCTATAAGTACACCACAATTGAACCTTTGGTATCCTGGTGAAATTGCACAAAAAAAATCCCAGTTCCATGACACCATCACAAAAGCCTCACATCAAAATGACTTTGCAAGTCAACATTGCAATTTCCTCATTTGTCTGTTTCAAATTTATGCTCACAATTGGGGGACTTCCTGTTGAATCTGAAATGCTTGCAGATGTTGATTGAGACCCTAAAATTCTATATTTTCACTGGGAAATGTGGCTCTACAGCCTAGAATCAAATCAAAGTCCTCCATTATTGCATTTAACTTGCAAGATCAATAATAATTACAGAATTGTTAGCTTAAATTTATTAAAGTGTCCACAGCACCTCCTCATCGTGGTTGATGTCACTTTCCACTTTTCCAATTCATATCAAGCCTAATTTTTTCACACCAAATGGCCACAAATGAATGTGAAATAAAGGCACATACAACCAACAAGGGGCCAGTTACAATAACCACAGTGTT